AAATATTTTATTTTAAAATATAAAAAGAGCAAAAATATTTTATAATACTATAAATTATTTTTAAGACAAATATACCAAAAATATTCTTCTTATAAACTTAATTTCTTTTTTAATCAATGAATGGATTAGGGGTTTTATTTAAATTCTTTTCCTAGTAAATTTAGGTTTACTTTTTACTATTTTAATTAATTATTTCCTTTTAGTTAATTAGTTTAAAACCAAACCCTTTCCTAAAAAAATCCAAACAAAACATCCATTTTCTTTATATTTACCTTCTTGTATATTTATTCATTTTTGTACATTATTTATCCAAATTCAATATGGTTATAATAGATGATTATGCTTTATTTTCTTGCAATCCCCATTTGTAATTTGTACACCCCCTCCCACAAGTATTGTAATAGCATAGTAATTTTAAATTCCACCATTTATCGCTTTATATACAAATGCTAGTAATTAGGATTTGTATGGAAAGACTAAAACCAATCAATTAGAAAACCCTAATTAAAGACAAAACCAAGCATGAAAAAAAATACACTTGCACACAAGCACCTTTAGGGTAAATCCACTTGGTTGTCTTATAAAACTGTCATATTATGCATGTGAGGTATCTTAGCAAAAACAAGCAAAATATAAGATCATAGTCCCTCGATGACGCTATCTAGGTTACCTTTCAAATGATCTTAGTCCCTAAAAGAGAATGCAAAGATAATTTACAATATTGCTAATCATGGTTATACAATGACCCACGTCCGTCCCGCTTACATCCAAAGATAGGGTTACTTACCAAATCAATGGTAAGATAATAATGTCAAAGGAAAGATGAAATGAACATGAGACTTTTGAGTAGGTAAAATTCTCCTAATTACTTGCTCCATTTCAAAACAAAACATCCTTGCTATTTTCAAAACAAACACCTACACTTTCAAAACATCTTACAAACTTGAAAACATTTTCAAAAGATCAACATCTTTGTATACATTCTTACGAACGAGAATCATTACAAAGTTTTCCTAAACAATGGCCTCTTTACAAAGTACTTTCAAAAACCATACAAAGCATAGTTTCAAACAAAAGCAAGTGATCTAGCAAGTAACTAAGAGCCCATGAAAAACCATGGATGAAAAGGGTGCTAATACCTTCCCTTTTCATATCTACCCCACGAACTCAAGAAATAATCTCAAAGGTCTTTCCTATGCTTTTTCACCTTTCCTTTTGGATAAAAGAAAAGTCAGTGGCGACTCTTGCTAACCGCAACATTTGCGATAAAACACAAAATACCCAAGTCAGTTCTCCCACCGTATCACAGACAACAATATCTTTTTTATCCCTATAGGCTGTGATCCCTGGATTGAGAATGTGAATTTATTTTGCACTTGAAGACTTTATCCCCTCAGCAGGAATGTGTTGGAATTTCCCTATGAAATTAAGACTCATTTCCCAGCAATGTTATCATAACAACAAGTGGCGGTCTCTTTATTTGAGCAACATGTACTTCCCTAGTAAGTCTGTTAGTGCCAGAGAAGATGGTGTTACTCTGATGGATGACAGTCTCTTTGATACGGGAGATCGTTTTTTGTTGTGGTTTGATTTACTCCAATGGATGGTAGTATCTTTGTTACGGGAGATAGTTCATTGTTGAGGTTTAATTTACTTCGATGGATGGTAGTCTCTTTGTTACGGGAGATAGTTCGTTTTTGAAGTTTGACTTACTCTGATGGATGGTAGTCTCTTTGTTATGGGAGATAGGTCGATGTTGAGGTTTGATTTGTACTCTGATGGATGGTAGTCTCTTTGTTATGGGAGATAGGTCGATGTTGAGGTTTTACTCCGATGGATGGTAGTATCTTTGTTATGGAAGATAGTTCGTTGTTGAGGCTATACTTCAATGGATGGTTGGTCTTTTCAATATGACAAAGACAATTCATTGAAAGATTCTTACAACAGTTCTTACCCTTTTCAAGTGATATCTTGATTATAGAAGTAGTTGAGACCCGTTTCTAGGTGGAATACCATAATTTTGGGAAACTTGTTATTGTTCTATTTTTTCTACCTTCATCCTTGAGTTGGTAGTTCACCGTCGTTCGTAGTCGGAATTTATTTATTTCTCCTCATTGGACTTTACCCCGATAGAGTTGAGTTGTTCACATCCATAAGTGCTGATATCAAACTTTTATTACCAGCCATAAGTGCTGATGTCAACCTTTGTTCCCAACCATAAATGCTGATATCAACCTTTGTTCTCAGTCATAAGTGTTGATGTCAACCTTTATTCCCAGCTATAAGTGCTGATGTCAACCCTTTGTTCCCAGCCATAAGTGCTTATGTCAACTTTTGTTCCCAGCCATAAGCGCTTATGTCAACCTTTGTTCCCAGCCATAAGTGTTGATGTCAACCAATTGTTTCCAGCCATAAGTGATGATGTCAAATTTTGTTCTCATCCATAAGCGTTGATGTTAATCCTTTGTTTCCAAACATAAGTACTAATGTCAATCATTCGTTACCTACCTCAACATTGGTGTTTACCGCCATCTCTAAGCCGATATTATCTTTGTTTCTATTTGTGTCCTTTGGGTTGCTAGTTTCTGATCCCCTATGAGTTGATATTACTCTCTTTTTTCTATCTCCTTTATGAGTGGATAGTTCACAATTATCTGCCGATCGTTGTTATCTATTATTTTTTTCTCATTTATTGAGTTGGTGGTACTTTGTCTCCTCTTTGGACTTTACCCCAATAGAGTTGAGTCTTCTATTTTCCAGCGAAGTTGATTTTCCTCCAACATACTTGAGTTTCTTTCCCCAGTCGAGCCGATAATCCTTTCTTAATGGTTACCTCCATGATAGTTTGTTGCTTGCATTGTTAAGAGTTTCCTATGTTGAAATCTTACTATGCATTTTGACTCTTTAAGCGTGGTTCTGACTTTACCTATTTATGGCCATCCCTAGAGTCGTGTTGTTCCCCAGCGATTTATTTTCCTGGTCGAGCTCTCTTTTTGGTCCATTGGTTTTATTTTCTGTTTTCTCAGTGGTGTTTTATGTCACCTTTGAAGTTGGTCATTTGCATTTATAATCATAAGCATCGCATGGCATCTTAGGGCGAAAATAAGGTTTCTTTTGTATTTAAGTATCTTCAATCACGTCGAGACGAAGATTTTAACCTTCATATCTCCGGATAGAAGACACTTAAATAAGGGCACCTGTTATACCCCAATTTTTACCCCTAAGATCTCTTGTCATCTCATATTATCCATACATCAAGATCACACATTAGGGTTGGTTTTCCCTTTATACTTCATCCTATCTTTAAGTTTACTCTTGAGGGATCACCAAACACCTTGAATTGTGTACCTTATATATATATATATATATATATATATATATATATATATATATATATATATATATATATATATATATATATATATATATATATATATATATATATATATATATATATATATATATATATATTATATTTCATTGACCTCTAACCAAAATAAATAAAAAATATGTCTTGTTTATTTTGTTTCTTTTAGAAGACAGGGTTTCGGATCAAAGAGTTCAGGCGATGGTTCTCCAATTAAGGTTGTGGTTTTGTTCAGGCTAGGGGCTAGTTCTCAAAGGACTATTTTTCATGGCCGTGATCTATAATCTTAGGTCACGCTATTTTGAAGTTTCATTCAATATGGTTAAGGCGAGTTTGGTTGCTTAACTCTCAAGACTCTTCGAGATAGGTTCATGTGTTTATTTCCATGCCTTCTTCGATGAGTAATCTCGAGTTCTAACAAGTGTGAACATGGTTTAATCAGAATTTCACCATCTCAGGTTCGTATGTGATTAAGAGTGCCTTGGATTGTGGAAAAAGGATTAAATTCACAAGTGGATTCAGAGTTGTTTGACCAAAAGTCAATATTTTCAAGTTCAAGTTCAAATAATCATAACTTCTTCATTATTCAGTATTTTTGAGTGATTCTCCGAATATGTGAAGCTCCTTAACATCATCTCCAACTTCTCTTTACAAGTCAAAAGCTAATAATATGCAGAAAACCATCAAAAGTGTGAGTACATTAGAGGTTGTTTTGAGGACTTTGACCTATTTTCAAGTGACATTCGTCCAACTTCTGAGAATCATAACTATTTCAGCTTTTATCGTTTTGGGACGATTCTTCTTGCACGATAGTCTTTAAGATGTTATCTATAACTTTACTTTAAGGATCAAGAACAAGTTGTGCTCAGAAGGCCATAGATTTTATCGAAACAATATAGGTCATTTTTATGGCTTAAAAGTTTCACAAGTTGTTTGAATTTGCAATTCATGATGTCGTTTCTTTCAAGTCCAAAGTTCAAGATTCAAGTCAATTTAAAATCGAGGTTTAAAGTTTCATTTTTACTCATTTTTAGTTTATGGCCAATTTAATTTATATAAGAAAAATCTTCAAAAAAAATATTTTTATTATAGTTTTAATTTTCATAAGTCAAAATTTCAAGCCTCTAGTCAATTTCCCTTTTTATTTATTGTATTAAGAATCTCAACAAAAAAAAATTATTCATTTGCAAGTTATAATTTTAAGTCATTATTTTTATTTCCTTTTAGTTCATTTTTGGTTTTGATTATCTTGAATTATTATTAAAAAATTAGAACCATTTTTTAATCTTTTCCTCCAATTCAAACTTTATTTTCTATTGGCACTTTATTTTAGCTTTATTTTAGTCATTCTTCTATTACTAACATTTTATTCTACTTTTGTTATTAATTATTGGTATTTTCATTATTATATGTTATTAATATGTGCAAAAAAAATAGAAAGGAAAAATGCAGGTTGGGATCACACAAGAGGAGATTCACGGTTCTTACATCAGTAGCAGAATTATACCAAATTTCAGTGCAAAACAAAAACCAGCTTTAATTCAATAACATAATGAACATTTCAATTTCATGCCTAATTTGATCCTAAACATTTAATTCATAATAATCAATGGCTGAAATTAGAAAAGGAGCATCAATCACAATTCTGCCCTTGCATCCACACGCTTGAACACCAAAGATAAATTCCATTTACAATCTCACCTATTTAAACAAAGGAATTTTATTCAGATAGAGAGGTTTTTTCGGAACTGAGATATACAGTAAAAACAAGAAAACGAAAAAGACTACTCACCTCCTCTCGCCGGATTTTCGACCCACTCGCGCGAGCCAGAACTTCTTCGTCGGAATACCGTCCGACCGCCGCACCTGAGCCCCAAGTCTCCGCTGTCCTCTTCCTTTCTTGCTCCAGAAGGTTGAGTTTCTCTCTCTGAACGCGAATCCACCCTTACTTTCTTTAATTTTGTGTTGTTTGTGATATTTTGGGAAAAAAACTCCTTGAACGTTATTTGAAGATCTATTCTTTTTGGTAATTGTTTTTGAAAAAATAGTTTCAGATTTAAAAAGAGGAAAGGAATTCGATTTCGAAAATGTAAAAAAAAAAAAGTTTTTGGACTACTCACGGCGCCGCCGCCGTGAGCCGTCGCAGGTAACCACCGTGAGAAGCCATCCTCTGCTGCGACCTCTTTCTTTTCTCTTCTGCCACCATGTTTTTTTTTTTTTTTCTTTTTCTCTTTTTCCCCTGATTTATTTAAGAGGTGATGATAATGATATTTGAAAAAGTAACAGAATACGATGATGTTTTTTTTACAGAGAGAGATAGAGAGAGAAAGAGTTTTGAAATAAAAAAAATGTTAATGGTTGTTGTCTTCAATGTAACAACATATTGATGTTGTGTTCATTGGAGTTCTCCTCTCTTATCTCATAGAGATCTGGGCCGGCGGTTTTAGAGGATGACAAGGGATCATCGAAACTTTAATCATAATATGTGATAGGGTTGTTTCTCAGTTAATTTAAATGCACAAGCATTTACTTTGTACACAATAGGTGATATCAAAGATATCTTCCCGAATCAAAAATCGGTGATGGTTCTCCGTAATCATTAAAACAGGCAGTCATTATCTCTCAAAAGAAAAGTCAGTTAAGTCAAAACTTTTGAAGGAGACTTAATGAAAAAATTGGGGTATCCCGCTAACTGTAATCACAAGAAACAATCCAGGTAAAAGGTAGAGATAATAAACAATAAAAAAATAAATCGCTAAAAATTCTTAATAAAAAAAATATATTACAAAAAAATGATGATTGCCTTCTCAAATAAAGTTTCAGTATCTGAACCATCACCAGAATATCAGTGCAAAGATTCTAGACTCAATTGAAATCTAAACGCATAATTAACTGAGTATATGACTGAAGAACATTACAGAGAACGGGTGAGTACAAATAAATTTTGAGCCTTTATCCTTTGTTTCTTAAACCGTGAACCAGACCACGCTACAACCTTTAAAAATCCTAACTGAAGCATGAGTTAGTTCGAAAGGATACTGTTACAAAATGTATCCTGACTCCTGTAAGGTTTACTATAAATCCTAAGTTGAATTCATATTCTTACAAAATTTTGTTTGTTTACTAAAAATGCATTTTTAAAACTTCAAGACAGACATAAGCTTTGTATTTTTAAATGTCATTGTTTGCATATGACTAATTGTTTGATATCAGAGAAATTCACATGACGGATATTCAATGAACGAAAATCCTCTCAATGAACAAAATCACCTCAGATGGAAAGACACTTTCAATAACAAAACTTCCATAATCAAGGGGCATGACATATTATTGCCCAAATCATATGTGACAGTTAAGTTAAGATTCAAAGAATCTATCAAAAGTGCTAAATAAGGTGCTGAATAGCCAGGGGAAGATCTCCATCTGAATCACCTTGGGCATTGAACATGAATTTCAGCAATGGGCCACCTATGATCAAGCAAACATTTTCTGGCAGTGCTGCAACACTTACTACTATGGACAGTGACAATTCTCTGCACCCTGTGAATGCGGACATAGTCGGAAAATACTACGCATGAAAAAAAAGACTCGCTAGGTTGACTGGCCTAAGAAAAATAAGGGCATCCCGGTGAACCAAAAAAGTTCGGGCAAAAATTAGGGATATTTAAATAAAATTGTACACCCGGCAAGTCGAAAACCTGAAAAGGTGGTTTGGGCAAAAGGGATATTCCGGTGGACTGAAAATCTGAAAGGACGGTCCAGGCAAAAGTTAGGGATTAAAGTGTATGACTATGTCCCATTATCTCATCATCTGTCTATTAGTAGAAGACTTATCACTCTGATCAACATTTACTCAAGACTCTGGGAGTTAGGACAAAGTTCAAGCTGTCCACAAATCCCCACAGAATCACTTCCATGGATTATCCCCCATAATATCTCTGGTAGATCGCTCTAGCGGACAAAGGAGTATTGATCTTCTCCCGACAAACACACCAATACATTACACACATCATGCCAATTCCCAAACAGATAGAGATTGCCAACAATTTTTAGATATAGTTCAGATACAATCTAAATATAGATTCATTTTGGCACTCATTCTAGATTCGCTTCAGATACAGTTTAGATACGATCTAGATATATATTCATTCTAACACTCAATCCAAATTCTCTTGCAGATACGGTTCAGATATAATCTAGACATGGATGTCATTCTGATTCCCATTCAAATGCATCTTCTAGATACAATTTAGATACGATATAAATATAGATGCATTCTGACACTCATTCCAGATTCTCTTACAGATACGATCTAGATAGGGATGTCATCCTGATACTCATACAATGCATCTTTCGGATACAGTTTAGATACAATCTAAATATAGATTCATTCTGGCATTCATTCTAGATTCTCTTCTAAATACAGTTCAGATACGATCTAGATATAGATTCATTCTGATACTCATTCAGTACATCTTTAGATACAATCAAGGCACATATTCATTCTGACACTCCCCAGCTTGAGTGTTGCTTATACCAAAAATCACCGGAAAAATTCCTCTCTCCCATAAAGTCGTCACTATCCCCAGAGAGTTTCTACTGAATCTAAAACCGAATCAGATGTCAGTCAGCTTTATCCTCCTCAGACGAGCCAGAAGGTTATCCATCTCTTCTATTCCCGGTCAGGGTATAAACTCCCAAATAGAGCAGTGAATAACCAACGTTCTTAAACTCTTCTTGCCAAGCAAGAATTAACATTCTCTAGCAGAGTTTCCTCAAGCAAAAAGCAGAAATCAATGTTCCCCATCGGAGTTTCCTCAAACAGCAAGCAGGAGTCCCCATCAGAAACAATCCATAGAAGATCAAAGATACACATACTCTTAATTCCCAGCGAAAGTCAGGGATTTATTTTCCCCAGACAAAGATGTTGCTCGAGTTTACAAATGCACTTCAATAACATGTCACGTTCATACATCATTTACCAAATGTCATAGCATATGCATACGAAACGCATATAGCACAGTCTCATTTATTTTGAGAACATTGTTACGCAATGCATTTCATACATCATGACATTGCGTACATCTAACTCTTTACCTTTCTAGGAAAGATCAGTCAACAGGCAAATATCAGCAACAAATGGGTCCAAGATTAATTCCTGAAAAAATACGGGGCGACTATCTACATAAAGAACACTTCAAAGACCTCTTCTGGTATGGATTTATTTCTTCCAGTTAAAAACAGGCGAAATACCTCTTCTGGTGTAGATTTATTTCTTCCAGTTAAAAACTGGAGAAAGATCTCTTCTGGTGTAGATTTATTTCCTCCAGTTAAAAACAGTCGAAAGACCTCTTCTGGTGTAGATTTATTTCCTCCAGTTAAAAACAGTCGAAAGACCTCTTCTGGTGTAGATTGATTTCTTCCAGTTAAAAACATACAAAGACCTCTTCTGGTGTAGATTTATTTCTTCCAATTGAAAACAGGCGAATGACCTTTTTTGGCTCAGATTAAATCGACCATAGCCTTATTCTGATACTTCTTCCAGTTTGAAGTCAACAGTTACTCTGGATGGCATCTACAAGCCCATCTTTGATGATTCTCCATCACCTCTCCAAATGGAATCTATAAGCCCATTCCTAGTACAATCAACCAACAATGTTACCTCTTGCACAGGCGAGTGCAAATTTCTGGGCACTTAAGTGCTCAATCATCTCCTACCATCAAGTCACGAATGGCGGACAAGTCAATCTAACCCTTTGGGTTTAATAAGATTGAACATGGGAAGTTGTTGTACCCCAAAATTCTCCCTTCCACTTTTCTCAAGATATGCTTTCAAAGGCTCTCAAGATACTCAAGAGTAGACCATTCAAACCTCCTCCTAAGCAAGGAGTCCATAACTAGGGTTTTGAGTTCCTCAAAGAAGTTTGGGTTGTAAAGATCTCAAGTGGATTCCATGATTCTTCATAGTTCCTCAATAAGGTTTATGTCAAGTTTCAAGTCCTACATCGCAAGTTTGCTCAATCAATGGCTTAGATGATTGAAAATCAACTATATTGGGTAAAAAGTCAACTATGGTCAACATACAGTCAAACTTCAAGACTTTTGGCCAACATCAACATTTTTAACTAATATTCATTATTTTATCAAGGGTTGATCATGATTCCTCAAGGAAAGCTCTCAAATCATCAAAAGTCCAAAATTGCAAAATTAGGGTTTCCTTAGGAGAAGTCAACTGAACTTTGACCAAGAATAACTTTCACATACTTCATCAACTTTTCCCCAACCAAAGCCTATATTGAAGAAAATTCAATTATCTACAACTTTGTTTTCAATCTCAAGTCGAAAAAGTGCTTCATTTGAAAGATATGAGCTAATACATTATAGGTCATTTTCAAAAGTCAACAAAAGAATCTTTTTGTCAAGGCAACTTACATCAAGATAATGTCTCCAAATGCAAAAATAATAAAAATAGAAAGTGTAGAGGACATATTGAGCTTTTCAAAAAGTCCAAGATCACCTTTAAAATATGAAAATTGAGTAAGGTATGAGTTGCGCAATTTGGGAAATTTTGAGGAAATGCATGAAATGCAAAGTGAGCAAACTTGAAGTTTTGAACTAGTGGGCCTAACTTTTGATGTTAAAACATGTTCATAAGGTGTTAGAGGACCTCTAAATCCACTCAAATATTTTTTATGATTTTTATTTCTTTTATTTGAATTTTTATTTATTTAAATGCAAATAAAATCAAATAAAATATGAAACAATGGTATAAAGGCTTGGGCTTTTTGTTTCAATCATCCAAAGGCCCAAGACAACTCATGAAAACTCATTACAACCTTGTAAAACTTGTGCAAGACCAAGATGGCAAGAAAAATCTCAAGTTTGGCAAGTTTTAAAGTTGTTTGATTCTTGTTTTATCATGGCATCATGGCTTTGATTCTTGCCATATTTGTCAACTCACTTCATCCTTCTATATAAAGGCAAGCATAGCAACTCAAAAGACCAAGAAAATCAGTGGAACAAAATCTCTCAAAAAATTATCCAAATTCAAAGAAATTGTAAAAATTATACCTCGTATCTCCAGCAGTTTTCAAACCGATCCAAGCCTTCCATTGTCCTCCTAACATTGCCAAGAGTCAGAACCGACCATTATTCTTCGTGAATCAACACTAGAAGCTTCCACTACATCAAATTCCGATTGGTAAG